GGACAGTAAACTAGGAAAGGTTACAACTGACCTTCTGAAGGTAAAGCATTTTTTTCCAAGCTAGGAAGAAGACCCTGAGGTGAAATAAAGAGACTGGAGATTTCCAAAATATATATTTATTTTTTTTCTGGAGAGGAGGCTGTTGGTCTCTGCTATCCTACAGAAAAGTGTAGCTCTTCTGTAGGCGTGCAAAATAGAGTTGACAGAGAGTTAAACGAATGAAAAGTATTTTAAATCTTTATGTAGGTGCACACATCTACATGCTTCTGTAGTGCAAGATGATTAATGAATGTTTTGTCCTTTATGAGCCTCAGCTCTGTTAGTCCGCTGTCATCACCAAGAGCTCCACCGAGCAGCCACTCAGACAGGCAGGAGCAAGACCAGGAGCAACAGCAAAGCAGTGGTGAGACACAACTCGTCACTTCAGGTTCATTTCTAAATTTCTCCAAATTTCCCACTGACATCAGTGACACTGTGTTATTTGTTTGTACACGTGTGCGCGTGTAGCCGAGTCATCTCAAGTTGCAGTGGAGATGGCATGGGGGGACTCTCTCAATGATACTTTGGAGAAAGAGGTGCAGGAGACACGAAAAATGGTGTCTGCATTACAGGTGTGTTCATCACAAACCTCCATGTTTGATCACTGATGTGCTTCTTCGCATATTGTGAAGCACTGCTTGTATTTTGCTCGTGTTTTCGTACATATAGTAAAAGAAGGCTTCAGGTGATTTTTGAGATTTCTTGTTAAAAGAACTGTGTGGGGGTCATGGTTCAGTTCCCTGCACTGGGCCAGAACACACTACCCTAAACAACATAAACACGCAAGGTCCTGTTTATGTTGTTTACCTACTGACTTTTCTTGATGCAGGATTGTAATGCAATTCTTAGTAGCTTTTATTTTAGTTCTTAACTTACACCGTGCACTGCCTCATAAGGCAACCTGCCAGCTAATGTAACACCGTGCAAACTGCTGTCACATGTGTGTGCCTTTGAAGGCTCTGCTGCTGCGTGGTTCACTGCCCGAGGACGAGCAGGATGCATCTTTGACTTTGGAACAAGGGAACACATCTGAACAGCAGCTGGTAATAATGGTGTCTTTTTCTTAGTTTTTCCACTCACATTTGTTGCCTTTATTTCATCCCTGCTGTCTGCTCTCTATCTTGCTGTCTCTCTTTCTCTGTCATTCCTGTGTCATTTTCGTCTTCAACCCTTTGTGTTCACTACAGATCACGTTACTGTTTCATAGCTGTGGTTTTTGTGTGCGCGCATGTCTCAGAGGGTGACACGGGTATCAATTTCACTGTTTTCTCACTCCATTGCAGTTCTCACACACATTCCCTCTTTCTCCTTTT